AAAATTTATAATATTGATATATTGCAGAAAGATAAGCTTGTGCAAAAAGACTCAGTAAGGCGTGAAGCAATATTTTCTATTTGTAGGTGGAATCCTGTTAAAAAGCAATTCAACGCCAAAGTGTAAACTATTTGAAGGATGCTTAGTAAGGATCAACAAAATAGGAGCCTATATTTCATTTAAAATCCCAGAGACTCATAGTAACGTACAAAAAATTAATTTGAAGCCTGAATATCGGGCGCTGCCTTAGTTATTAACAATTATGCAAAAATTCATATTTAACAATGACCATGCGAGAACCCATATAACGCCCATAATCACATGTAAATATTGTTTGAAAATCCATCTAAAAGAACGTCTATAAAGATCTATATGGTAAACTGCATACGCGCGCAGAAGATATGTAACCAATTCTTTTTTAATAACAACAGGCAAAAGATATGATAAATAGGAAAAATTCAATACAATAATATGATTACGAATCAAGAATAATATGGATAATTTGTTCTTTCTTACATGCATTTAATGTTAGAGTACTCGAGGCTGAATAGAATAGTAAATACAACGGTTTTTTGATATCAAGTGACTTTCCATTTTAAGTATTGAGATGAATTATCCAGTTTACTATTGTAATAATTTCCCGTAAAAATGTAAAAAATAAACCTGACTAAATATAAATGGGCTGGATTGAAAATTATAGAATTCCCAAGAAACAACCAACAATGAAGATTTAACAAACAGAACAATGTAAACAAATCCAATAACGATTGGATTAGGTACAATAGAAAATCGGTACTGTATTTTCTACTTTAAATATATATATTTCAAGATAAATGATCCATTAATATATAATATATATTAAATTATGAATACTTGTAGTTTCATGGATGGATTTATTCATACTCCTGTACTCATTCAGGTTCATATTCAAGATCCTAGACCATTCTTTGAAGGCAAAATCATATGAAGATCGTTAAATAAATTATGAGAATCGAGAGTGACACGAAATATTTTTACCCATAAAATTTCAATTAATTAATTTGGACTAACGCTCTTAATTAAGTGTTACACTTAAAAGTATCTATTAAGCCACGCTACATCTCAGGTCGGACAATTTAACAAAGCTCGTACGTACGTAATTAAATTGGATAAATTTGATAGATTTTAATTAACGTTAGGAATTTTAGTAGATAATTATATGGAAAGATTATGATAATGGATTTTTTATTTTTTCGACACTAATTTTATTTTTAAGTTTTGTATTCATGAATGGTTAAAAAGTAAACCGCATCTGTATAATTGCTTCTTTTCTGCGGTTTAGATAAACGCCCAAAAATCAGATAAAACATATCAACACGAGTGATACATGTCACTACATTGCAGGAACGCGCCAGCAAAGAACCCGAACCATACGTATTTCAGTTACCGTACTTTTACAAGAACAAAATCATGTGAACGAAATAAAAAGAATTCGCATGATGGCCACGCATGCATGCAATGTTGCAGTTTATGCTAGCGTGGCTAAGTGACATGGGTTACGTTGAAATTTTTTTAATAATGGCAAAAAATAACTCTACCATTTATTAATGATTAAGATACTTTTATAACCAACCAATTAATTAAATCCTGAATGACAAAAAGTCGAGAGATCACAGGGAATATTTGCAGCGGAAAGGCAATGGTTTTTAATCTTTTTTATTAAATTTTCGTCAAACTTAGTCATAGTCTATTGTTGAATTTGCATTTTATGATCCTATTCCTTGATCATAACAAAAAAAAAAAAAAAAAAAAAAATGTACATGCCAAAAGAAAGTCGGCAAAGGAAGGGAATATACAGGACCACTAAACTCTAGATATTCTGATTTGAAATAAAGAAAAAAAAAAATCAAAAAAAAATCAGAGTAAATTTTGTGGTGCATTATGAAAAAAACGAATGAAAAAAAATATCAATTAATATCCATAGCTCACACATTTGCTTGTTAGCACCCAATTGTCCCTCTAAAAATTCCAATCTATAAAGTTATCTATTTCATAATATGAAAAAAAACCAAAACCAAAAGCAAAAAAACGTCATCCCATCGTCTTATAAATCAGTTAAAATATATTTCCCATTTGTCTTACTATAAATTCACCCACGACGAATTATAGAATGATGAGCATGTGCATGTTCAATATGATATTTTAATCCATTCGGGTTCTTATATCGTTTCTCACATTCTGGATAAGTACACCTATAAGGTTTGACCACCGGTTTCTTTTCAACTTCTGTATCTGACAAAGCTGACCGATGTCCATGTTCACTATGGTATTTTAGACCGTTCGGGTTTTTATAAGACTTGACACATCCAGGTATAGTACATTTAAAAGGCTTATCGTTGGCCTCCTGAGTAGCAGCTTTTGTGACGCGGTGACTCTTCGCTTTAAGGTGATTGCTATGGTTATTGGTATTAGGAATCGTCATATGGTTATGGTTATGGTTATGGTTATGATTATTATGGTTGCTATGACTGACCGGGTACTCTGTTGTACCGTTATGGTAGTATGAAAACTTCGTCGGTGGTTCTGTTTCATATGGTTTGTATACGTTGCTTTTCATGGTGTCTAATGAGCTTTGAATAGATTCAGGAATTTGACTAGAGAATGTTTGATCTAAAAAACGTTCGTTGTGTATATTAGATATTATATATATCTAAGCTCCAAAGTCACGGACTCAATTTTTTTATTTATTTACTTTTTTTTTTTTATGCTTTTTTTTTTTTTTTATGAAAGAGGCATCAGCTGTAAAATGACTTCTCCAATAAGAGAATATTGTTTTTTTTTGCACGAGCTGTTGTCACTTGCAGAAAGTGTAACGGTGAAGCGAGATCTAAGTTGCCTTGTGAAAAAAAAAAAAAAATTCGGCCTTTTAATTGGTTACGGGCTTTTTCGGATGCTGATTAAACTTTCAAAAATGCCGATCATCTGATGCTCGTCTGCTAAATATAGAAGTCGCAGCCAAATGGCGCAAAACAGTTTAAAACCCGTTTTCGCCTGTTTTCTTAATAATGCAACTATGATTTTCGAACCTTTTGACCAAAGTTATGGCCAAAATTATCGTTATTACTTCGAGACTTGCCCGGATTATGTAATCCAAAAATTATGTCGCTGAGAAAGTATGAACTCTACCAATTTTTTTGAAACGTTCGTAAGTAATCCAATTGTGAAATATCCGAAATCCGTGAATAAGTGCTAATTGCAAAGTATAGAATAAGGAATATGAATGTAGGCAGACTTAACCATGAACAATGGCAAATCATTTGAAAATGTGATTCGTACAGTCACCAAATAAGGTTGAATTATCAGTTATCGGAATATAGTAAACGACCCATGGAATATCCACATCATATCCGCTGAAGTTTTAACGGTAAATAACAAGATCTTGTATGTACGCACATCTTTTTTGGTGAATTTTCAATTTTGTGCTAGGGAAACGAACGACAGTGATGGCGAACTGGACTGCATGTGTCACTTTTTAGAACGGGTCCACATGAATTACGTGATAATAAATGGATTTACTAATTTTCCAAAGTTTCTATTTGCTGAATTATCGTAGATATCACTTTTTTTTAAAAAAAAATGACATAGCTACAGTAGTTTATTACGTAGAATATTTTTGTAATATACGGTTTTTATAACAAATTTAGCCCCGTTTAATATTAAAATAAAGTCATAGTAGCTTTAGATTTAGAAAAGTTATAGTTTATATTAAAATTTTGTAAAAATTTTTTTTGTTAGATCTTTTATATTGTTTATCTTTTTTAAATATTTTTTTTTTTTAAATCTTCAAAAGTAAGGCCATGTTTTTATTAAAATTTAATTAAATTTCTTTACAATTAAAAGAAATTATATTATTTAAATTTTATATTCAAGAGATATTAAGACTAAAGACTCAAACAGAGCTACAAAATTAACTAAACAAAAAGTTTGCAACCTAAACCTACCAAAGTGGTTATGGTTTATTGGAATTTCTAAGTTAGTAATTAAACTATAAAGATTATATTGATATTTAATCTACTTGAAGTACTATAGTTCAAGTTTAATGCTTATAATAGTAGAAGATGCTAGTTGGGTTGATAAAATATATAGTATCAAAATAGTAGATAAAATATGTTAGTAAACTAGTTTTTGCTCTAGCAATATAGTAAAGTATTAAGCCCAATACAGGTTTATAATTGTAATTTATAAGATTTTGATTTTTCTTTTTTACCCCCTTTTCATTTTTGTATTTGTTTTTTTTAGTATTAGTTTTTGTTATTGTGTCTTCTCTTTTTAATATTAGTATTAGTATTAGTATTTGTCGCGGCTAAAGCTGGAAATGGCTGAAGCTGGAAATTAGAGGTCTCGATTTAAAACTATAAGCCCTGCTAAAATCCAACTA